AAAAACTTGCAATAATGTAGTCTGTGTTTGTAAGGCTAATATACGAAACTTAAAAGAACTTTGGAAATTTATAAAATCGCTGAAGTATTAAACTCTTCTACGCTTTATTAAAAATTCCTTGGGATAAAGTTTTGATATCTACAAGAATACTAGACTGGAAAGAAACAGTGTAACTGTTTAGGTACACAAATTAAAAAAAAGTCCATAGGAAGGAAAAATAGAGAGACAAGAATGGCAAGTCATAAAGAAGACGAATGAAATACATGTATTTGTTGAAAAAACGAATAGTATTCGAGCTCAAAATCCATTAAACTTTACAAAATAGGAGCGGAACTAACACGGACCTCCAAAACATCAGAGATGGATCAGGTGCCATTTGAGGAGTGATCATTTTTCATCCGAGTCGAATGCAACACTTTTAACTCATTGAATGCGCATCTGTATATGAAGAGATTGTTTCACTGCTCTGCTTAATTTTCCGCCAGTGTATAGTTTCAAAATTAGACCTCCCGTGCAGATTTAGGAATCATTCCCTGGGAATCAACTCCAAAAGGTTTGGTTTCCGGGGATATAGACAATCCCTCTTTGATACTATTATCTAATACTGAAGAGGAAAATAAGGTAAAGTAAAACATACAATTCGCAAGATTAGACCACAGTTATCAATAATTGGTCCAACAAAGAGAAAGGGCTTTATGAAGTCGTCTCATTATGATGTGTTGCTCATGGAGTGCAGGATAATTTCTTCAGAGACTGGTAAGCGGTACGAATTATAAAAAACCAGAGGTAAGATTTCGGTCACGAAGCTAAACTTACCTCTACCCTGCCCAATTAATTAAAAGAAGGACCTGAGAGAGCTTCAGATACCTTGATAGAATTAGGACAGACTATCAGAGGACTTTCTTGTTCGGAGCATCCGTTGGTAACAACAGAAGTAAGGGAAAACCTTGGAAAAGGGCTTGTATAGTCACACTAGTAGATTCTCTAATGTGATTGCACATCAAGTAAAGTAGGATTCAAAGTTTAAACAAAATCAATCGTTTGCAGTTGAGTTTGGTGACAACACCGAAAAGAGAGACCATAGTCATAGAAGACGGAACCTGCAAGGAAGACAGAAAAGGTCATCCAGAAATTTTACATATCAAGTAAACACTTCAGACAAACTTAAACCCATAAAGAAAGCACAATCAACAGAAAGAAAGAGTCAGAGAGACGACATTAGAGTAGATCAAACTTTCCTTGAAAGACAAAGATTTTGTATAGATGTCATAATAAGAAAAATTGATACATCTTTAAGGAAGGATGCATTGTAGAATCTGTCCATTATTGAAGAAAAGAATTGATAATGCTATTAAACCCAGCGATCATTTCATGTATTAGTGTGAATATGAAGGCAAGAGTGAAAAAGCAGACAGATTTATACTTGCTGGAAAAATGAAATGAAAACCAAATATTGATTAATACTGAAGAATCCTCTTACCTTACTATCTAAGAAAATGATCACCTGATAAAAACGAACCGAAAAAAGGATGGTAAATTGATGAAGCAAGAATAGCAACAGTCTCGTTCAAAGTCATCATTTCGAAAGTTCTATGGTCGATACAATGACCTTGTCAAATATAATTTATCATTCAGTCAAAAGATGACAGACTTTTTCATACTGATTGTTAGGTCATTATTTACAGACTGAGTAGTCCATGGTTTTTTTTTCCGTTATCATGACAAGAAGCGGGATGACCGGTTGGCAGGGAATGCTCATTCCCCCCATGGCACCTAATCCCACCTCTGATGTTTTGAGACTGCATAGCTTGCTGTGTATTGTTGAACTGCATTGTCAGCTTAATGATTAATATATTGCATTGGTAAATTTCATTTTTTAGAAAGATTAATTTGTCACGCAGATAGGAAAGTTGAAAAAGATTATTGAAAGTAATAGTAGAGGATTCAGCTTCGATGGTATTCTAGGACTTGACTTCTAAAAAGCTTGTAATGGAGCAGGAGATCTCTAAACAAATTCTTCGAAATCAAAAAATAAAAAGGGTCGATTTTCATGGAATTCCATCAAGAAATGAAGTAGTTACTCAAGGAACATCACGGAAGAATATAAATTACGTTTTACAGACTATAACTACTGAGTGGAGACATACAGAAAAACATTTCTAGGAAGTGGAAGTAAGATATTAGGTTCGCACTTTAAGAAAAGGAAAACATATAGCTGTATATCTCCCGAATGTCAGCAAAGATGGACAACACATTCGTTTGTTTGTTTGTTTGTGAAACGTCTCTTCAAGAATTTTCACTCAATATTGAGTCGCGAGCACTTACCGGATGCGCTGTAAATTTAGACCTATTATAAGCAGACTTAGTTTTATATTCATATGAAGAAGAATTTATGCAAAATCTTATGCGTGAAAAGAAGAAAACACTTGCTGTGGCCTTCAACTCGACATTTAGATATATCGACGACGTATTGTCAATCATCTGCATACGGAGTTTATATATCTCAGTTGATTCGATACGCAAGAGCATACTCTACGTATGATCAATTTCTACAAGGATGTAAATTATTGACAAACAAGTTGATGAAACAAGAATATCAGCAGTCTCCTTGAAAGTCATCATTTCGTAAGTTCTATGGTCGATACAATGACCTTGTCAGCAAATACAATTTATCATTGAGTCAAATGCTGACTGACATTTTTCATACTAATTGTTAGTCAATTATTTATGCACTGAATTGACGACGGATTTTCCCGTTATTTCCTGATCATGACAGGGAGAACACGGCGGGTATGACAGGTCAGCAACGTATGCTCACTCCTCCATGGCACCTGATCCCACCTCTGATGTTTTGGAGGTCCGTGTTTGCTCTACTCCAGTTTTGTATTATTTTATGGACTTTTGATCTTAAATACTGTTATTACATTATCGCCATATGCTTCATGAAGTATTGCTTATTTTGAATAAGAAACGAAAAAAAGAAGAGAAGGAAATATAATTTTTTTGTAAATGCATATTCTTATGTAAAAAGCCCGAATTGATCATATTCTTACATGGATCAAATAGGGCATATTTTAAACTATATGGGCAAAAAATGTGCGGCCGATTTTTTTCAAATTACATATAAAGAGAGATTTTTGTACCCTGGAACAAAGTTTCAAAGTTTCAGAAAAATTAAATTAAACACTAGACGAGCCTCTTTCTATTGACAATTGAAAAGTTGTAGAAAAAGGTAAACTATCACACTCAGTTTTTGATTATTGACTCCATATTTAAAATTCTTCTAAGAGTGTAAGAAGTATTCTTGACGCAGTGATAACGTTTAAATTGTCAGGTTTTTTTGTAGGCATTGTGATGTCGTTGCCTGCATAAAGAGCAATATAAGAGTCTGTCACACCAAAAAAGTTTCAATGCTCTACTGATTGTTTCCGATCTTTGACTCGTATGTAAATATGTCTTTTTCTCCAATAATTTTTTTGGTTTTGGTTTTGTGCAAATGTTTTATTTTCTCTTCCCTGAGAGCCCCTAGGAATTTACGATTTATTGATTGTTTGGCAGAGTTGGATTTCAAAAGTAGAATGTTGGGATTAAATTTTTTATTTTAATATATAATTTGTTTAGTATACATATTTTCTATGCCCTTAATATATATTATTAAAAGATGTTTCACTTTCTCATCAAATTACATGTAAAACAAGTTTTATTTGAAACGGTGTAGACGTAAACCTGCCAAACGATACTATTAGTGTACACTTTTTTCATTTAAAAAAAAAAAAAATTATTCTTTGATTAAAAATCCAAATTAAAACATTCAGAAAGCAAGTCTCTTACAGACATTGTTTCTCCCTCCCCATTTCAAAAACAAAAGTGCCAAGTTCTTATAAATCAATAAGATACTAGATTAAATTGCTTTGTATTTGTCATTTATTTTATCAGCAAAATGTAATCACATCAATGGGAAATCAACAATCCAATTTTCAATAATAGTCCTGAAAAATAAAAAGAGAAAATAATCATTAATACGATAAAAGTTTTATAAATTTGAAAATTAGAATAAATTAGAACAGGGAAAGTTGGTACTTATTTTAGATTTATTCAATATACCACACGAACTTACCCTGAATCCTTTACCACCATAGATACCTCCTAAACCTCCAAAATAACCGATTCCCTTTCCACCATAGAAATTACCATATCCTAGTCCTCCAAAATAAGGTCCAATTCCCTTTCCTCCATAGAAATTACCATATCCTAGTCCTCTAAAATAAGGTCCATATCCCTTGCCTCCATAGTAATTACCGAATCCTATACCTCCAAAGTAAGGTCCATATCCGTAGTTACCAAATCCTAATCCTCCAAAATAACCAATTCCCTTGCCTCCGTAGAAATTACCATATCCTAGTCCTCCAAAATAATTTCCAAGTCCTTTGCCTCCATAGTAATTACCATATCTTTTTCTACCATAATAGCCATCACAAAGGGCTACAGAGAGCACAGCTAGGAAGCACAACAGCTTGAACATCCTGTGAGACAGAACTAGAGGTCATTATTGAGGAAGACTTTGAGCAATGTATAATAACAAATATTTTTCTTTGTAAAAGTAAACGGATTTCAAAGTGTCCCCCCCCGAAAAATCTTTTAAATATTCTTTGATAATAAAAATATTTTGGTCCAACACGATGAACAAGGATATTCTTATATGATTTTTTTTACGTTTAAATAATCATTTGAAGTAGATTACTGTAATCCGGAGTAATTTATTCAATAAAATTTATCCTCGCTATTTTGTTTATGATAAAACAAATAAGCGTCCTTTAAAATAGCTATAGAAATGAGCAATCATAGAAGAGAAAAACGTTATCATCGAATCCCTGGCTCACCTTTGTCAATGTAAGGTTTTAATGTGAGCAAGCCCGATCCAAATCTGCTTTTTATACTTTTACAGATTAACTCTTTTATATAACTTAATTGAAAAGTCCGGCAAGTAATTTTTATGAATGGCACTAAGACCTTTTGGTTGATAGTTTCAGATACTTCCGTTTCTTCTGCAAAAGGTTAAAACCGTAATAATCCAAGTTAAATGCAATATGTATATCCTGTTAATTTTACAACTGCTGTCAACTTAAAAATATTATTATACCACTAACATAAAGGATTGCATAAGATATTTGCATATCCTTTTTATCTTAAATGATAACTCAGAACTTGTTAGAGTAAAATTTGCAAATATTGAAAACATAAGGACTTGGAACACCTATTTTTTTTTTTTTTTTTACAATTTCTTAAATATGCGTCTTCTTTTCCTTATTTGTTTTATCCCCTTTGTCAAAACAGGACATATCTGCTTCTTTAGGATAATTATGTCTGATATATGATGAATCACAAGGGATGGTCCCAGGCTCAGGTTAATTTTTCGCATTTCTATCAGCTGATTTTGGGAGTCCAGAAAAGAGGATATTATTCTTTCACTAAAATGGACTGATATGGACTGAAAATTGTTCTTCGACCCTAATGATGATATTTGAAATCAACAGGAACCTTTGACTAATATCTCGTATGCTTGAGTGAAAAATACTTTTGCAGAATTTTATTCATGTTCTGATACCGTTTTAAGAATTAACAAAAATTATGTAATTTTTTGTATTTATAATAAATTAAAGACAGTTGGTTGCACCAAAGATTTACAAAGACTTTAACCAAAGATACATAAAACCCGATCATAAATAAACTGAAAGATAAATTCTCTGTAAATGATAGCACTTCTAAAGAAATAATAATAAAACTTGCTTTATATCTTCTACATCAATCATTTACTTCACAACAGTTATTATTAAGATCGATGATTTTATGCCCTGATAAAATAAAAAATGATTATTTTTTTAACTGTCGATATTTCAAACAAAAAGTGAACATTTTAAATCTACCGTGATTTTTTTTTCTCTGATTATTCCCTTTTTATTTTCTCCTGAAAAACCTTGTAAATTGTTCACATTGTAAATACTTTAAAAAAATATCTTTCCCAGACCTTTAATCTTTGGAACTTGAAGAATTTCAAATGTATGTAAAAGAAAGTAAATGTTCTTTCGAGCGTTTTTCTTTACTCCTCACTAAGACATAAACAGAAGTAAAGGAGAAACTTCAAGAGTACTGTGCACCAATATATTCGGAAAAGTGTTGTAATATCAGATGAGGACACTTAAAAATTCAACCTTTCAATTTTTACACAACCATTCCCCATGATAAATTAAAGTCCAGGCTTTTTGATATCATTGACAGCTGTCTTTTCAGTAAAAATGAAACACGTAAATTTACTTACTTTGTTATTGTTTATTTAACTTATTTTGTTGAAAACATTCTGATTGTACACACAAGTACTCTGAAGTTGACGACAAAAAGATGCTTGAGTTTCTGATTGAAAATATCTACGTGGTTTTTGAAGACCAGGTATTCCAACAATCTATTGGAATTCCCATTGGTACCAATTGCGCCCCGTTATTAACAGAACTTATTTTTGTATTCATATAAAAAGAATCTGTCCAAAAGCATGAAAAAACGAAAACACCTGCTGTGGCCATTCACTGAATGATAAATTGATATATCTGACAACGTATTGTTGATAAGAATGGAAATGATGTTTTTATGCGAGACGATATATATGTTGATGAACTTGTTTGTCAAGAATACCGTTTTAGAAATTCAGAGTCTGACACATCTGTTTCCTTTTGGATTTTTTTTTACATGAAAAAGGCGATAATAGTGATCTAACAGCCACAGCTCTGACACGTACTTTAAGTATTATATTTTATTTTCTTTGAAAAGCGATATACCTTAACACCTGCATATGTACTTTATATTCAATCGTCAATAGTATATTCTTTGCGTAGCAATATACCTTCAACACCTTCATTATATAGTTGCAATAGATATATTCTATATATATGTACAATTTCTAAAACGAGGTAAATTATTGACCTTGTCAGCAAATACAATTTATCATTGAGTGAAATGCTTACTGACGTTTTTTGTACAAATTGTTCGGCAATTATTTACAGTATACACTGAATTGACGACGAAGTTTTCCGTTATTTCCTGATCATGCCAATGAGCACACGGCGGGTATGACCGGTCGGCAGGGGATGATTGAATACTGTTCGTTATCTCCACATCCTTCTTGCTGTGGCCTTCAACTCGACATTTAGATATATCGACGACGTATTGTCAATTAATAATGGTAATTTCCATTCCTACGTCGATACGATATATCCTGCTGAGCTTGAGATAAAGGATACCACAGAGCCTGACACTTCTGTTTCATACTTGGATATTTTACTTGAAAAAGACGCTAATTGTAATCTAACAACCAAACTCTATGATAAACGTGATGATTTTAACTTTTCTATCGTCAACGTCCCTTACTTATGCAGCAATGTACCTTTATCACCTGCATATGGCGTTTGTATATCTCAGTTGATTCGATACGCAAGAGCATGCTCTACATATGAACAATTTCTAAAACGAGGTAAATTATTGACAAGCAAGTTGATGAAAAAAGAATATCAGTAGTAAAGTCATCATTTCGTAATTTCTGTGCTCGATACAATGACCTTGTCAGCAAATGCAATTTAACATTGAGTCAAATGCTGACTGACGCTTTTCATACTTATTGTTAGTCCATTATTTATACACTGAATTGACGACGGATTTTTCCGTTATTTTTCGATCATGTCAAGGAGCACAAGGCAGCTAGGTGCGACGATCAGCAGGGGATGCTCACTCCTCCATTGCACCTGATCCCACCTCTGATGTTTCGGGGGTCCGTGTTTGCTCTGCTCCTATTTTGTATTGTTTTATGGACTTTGAGATTGAATACTGTTCGTTATCTCCATACCTTTCATTCTAAAAAGGTATATAATTGAGTTGTGAGAAGGAAGAAGGAAAGGGTGGAAGGTTTGGTCATTTTCTAATTTTTCTCATTCCGTTTTCTTTTATTTTAAAAGGGCAAATAAACTACACATTTACCGAATGTATCATTAATGTTACAAATGAATTATTTCAATATCTGTAAAGCTAATAAATATACAACATTTACAGTTAATAGGTTATGTTTTTAAGAAGGAAGATAGTTTCATATGCAGAACATACCTGAGGTATTTTAGCGCATAGAGCGTGTAGTGTCATAAATTACAAATCCAAAAAAATCTTCCCAATCAGACGTCGTCCATTACAGAATGTTGTACTTGTGTGAAGTAAGTTCTAGACTTGCATGGGCTCAAGACCCAGATTGTGAGAAAAGGTGGATGATGCCTTTACAACACGCCACCAAACTTCACCATCGCAGTACTATAAACTATATCTTTTATTAATTTCAAATTAAAATAAATTTCAGAGGGATTCATAGACGCGTTCCCTGGCAGAAATACTTTAATCCTGCAGAAAGAAATGAATCAAAAGATTTATTTTTCAAAACTGTCATTTGTTAAACACTATTATATTTTATAACATAATCACAACACGAGAGGTCTGTAAATGGTGAAATTATTTAGAATTATTCTGTAAAATGTTGAGCTAGCTCAATCGCACGCGGACGGAAAACAATCTTGAATGTCAGAGACCATCCCCCTTTCCACGAATTTTGAAATGTGGGGTAACCTCTTATCTGCGAAATATATTTAATTTATATAAAAACACAAGAAGGTGATTGAGATTCCGTTCGCTATTTAAAACAGTATTTTCGATGTGCAAGGACCGACTTGATCTGAAAAGAATTGAGCCCACACTGTTTATAACAGTACTTATTACTCAGCTAGGCAATTTAATAATAATTTAATATTTCGTGTGCCTTTTAAGACGCCCCCTGTTTCATATAGTGGTTTTTTTTTATTAATCCTCCAATTCTCAGGTTAATCTCGCTGTTGACGAGAAACAGAAGTCAGGTGATATACACCAGACACTCCTCGTGATTTATTGTAAGACTTGGGCCTTTTCATCATTTGTCACGAATTCCGAATGTCCTCATTAATTAAAAGTATGTCTGCGTGCATGTTCAATGTAGATGAAGTACGGTATGGTTGCTGGGGTTAGAAAGGTCTAATGAGTTTGTGGAAGACTGCATGTCATTGAGAACAGTCTGTACAGTTTTTTCTACAAAGGAAGGACCCCAAGGACAACACAGTCAGTGTATTTCAAATGTTGTCTTTGATGGAACCAGAAACTTTAATTCAACTAAAATAAAACAATCCCTGGCTGGTGAATCATAAATTACGACCGTGTAAAAAGATTTCATTTCTAACGATATTATGACATCAGATGATTGGGTTCATTTTGGCAAACATTTACGACATGGCACCTAAAAAAAAAACAGTCTAACCCCCCCCCCTTTATATTTAATATCTAAATAAACAAAAGAAAAACCCAAAGAAATGAAATTAAATTTAAAAAAAACAAACAAAAAAGGAGGGGGAAAACACTCGCAAATAATCGAACAAACTTTCAAAAGTTATCCATTAGATGAGAACGTCT